GAAGAAGATGGAGGTGGGCGGTGTGGGATTAGGGAATGATGAGATTGGAGGCTGTGAGTGGGAGGTCACCTGAGGTGGTAAGGTTATGAATGACCTGAGAGATGATGGTTTCATGGTCAGGGGTGGGGTCAAGATTGAGGGGACAGCAGGAGGAGGTGTCAGAGAGTTGGCGCCTGGCATCGGCGATGTAAAGGTCAGTGTGCCATACTACTACTGCGCCTCCCTTATCTGCGGGTTTGATGGTGACGTTAGGGTTGGATCAGGGGGAGCGGAGGGCTACATGTTGTATGGGGGAGAGGTTGGAGTGGGTGAGAGGGGTGGACAGGTTGAGGCGATTGATGTCTCGATGGCAGTTGGAGATGAAGAGGTTGAGGGAGGATAGGAGGCCTAGGGGTGGTGTCCAGGAGGATGGGGTTTGTTGGAGGTGGGAGAAGGGGTCTGTAGAGGGTGGGTTAGATTCCTGGTCAAAGAAATAGATGTGTAGGCAGCGGAAGAAGAGTTTGACATCCAGATGTGAACAAAATTCATTGATGCATGGGCACAGGGGAATGAAGCCAATGAGGGGATTTCCGTTTAACTAACCCCACCCCTCTCCATACCAACTACCTCAATGACCAGTTTTGCTGGGGCTGTTTGATGTCAAGCCCAATTGAATGGTGCCTTGATGCTGAGGAAAGCTCCAGTTTCCAGTTCTTCAAAAGTTGAACTTTAATTCAAAGTCTGGATAAATCCTGTTTGGGTTTTGCTGGAGAGTATGAATTGTTTGAAGACACTATTGATTATTCCTCCAAATATTTACTGCTTAGGAGGAAACTGTTTGGGTGACAATTGACTAAGTTAGCTTTGAGCTTGTTTCTGAATAGGACAATGTCATGGCTTTTAAAACAAAGTTGCTGGAAAAGCTGAGCAGGTCTGAGGAAGGGTCACTGGACCCAAAACATTAACTTTGTTTTTTCCTTCACAGATGCTGCCAGACCTGCTGAGCTTTTCCAGCAACTTTGTTTTTGTTCCTGATTTACAGCATCTGCAGTTCTTTCGGTTTTTACTTAATGTCATGGCTTTATTCGAACAGTTTTGCTGGGTAGTGTTTGGCTTCAGGGCACATATCTCCAGCATTACTGTTTAAATGTTGTTAGAGCCCATTGCCTTTTCTGTACTAACAGAACTCAACTGCTGCTTGAAGTCACACAGAATAAAGCAAAATAGCTGTCCACCAGTTTCTCCGATGGTGAAGACATCAGCGTAGTGATTGTAACAAGGTCAGCCAGGTGGACTTTGTAGAATGTGTGTTCCCTGTTTGGGGCTGTTAATCTGGAACAATCAGGAAGTCCTGGCTGACAGATAAAAACAGGAGTGTCGGAGGTTCTGTTTACTCTGAGAGCTGGCTCTGAGGGAGCTGGATCAGTGTCAAGGATCTCCATGTGTAAATAAAGGGTGACTTGGTGGTGGGATATTGGCTTCTATGGAGTTATTTGAAACAAGAAGACGCATAATGGGGTCATCCACTTGGCGCTTTTGAGCAAAGACGCTTAAAAATAATTTACCCTTCACTTTTCACTCGCCTGCTGAGTTTCACCACAGCCGAGGACAAACATTTTTATGGAGTCTTCTCCTTGTGTTACTTGCTTAATTGCACATCATTGTTCTTGACTCGATAAGATAGGCAACTATGCTCTAACCTATGACTGTGGGACTGCTCAGTTCAGTTCTTAGCCAGTTTCCTTTAATAATGCAGTTAGTAGTTTCCTTATGTCCATATCTCATTTGAAGGCACATCTGATGCTGTTCCTGATATGTCTTACTAAATAACGAGGATTCAAGGTTTATCAGAACCAGGATTCAAATTGTGGAGTAATGGTGATTACAGAGTGAAAGATATGCCACACCACAAGGTTATAGAATGATGTAGTAATCCAATTTTACTGTTTATTATGAATCATCTTTAGTCTGTAGATTGTGAATTTTGGACAGCTAGGTCTGCCCTTGATCTGTTCCACTGTACAGAGGGGTATTGTCCCCACAGTGAAAGAACGGCTTCACTTTGGCAAGGACTGTGCAATGGCTACTTCTATCAATGGTGCTGAGGACAGATATGTTTTCAACAGAAAGCGTACCTTATAAAGTTAACATCAGCTCTAGTGAGAAATACTAAAAGTGCCTTCAGGGAGAAACATGACAGAGCAGAGAATTGGATTTAGTAATTTGTATTCTCTGTCTTCAATTTAAATTCTGTGCAAGTGGATCTCCAAATTTGGAGAAAGCCTGAATATGCAAACATTCATGCAGTAGTATTTGTACAACATAATTTTACGAACTAAGTGTGCTTTATTGAGTTTGTGGAAGCTCAGTTCACCTATTGGACAAGAACTGCTCCTGTTCTGTCGGAAATGGATCAATGTTGTGAATTTATTACAGCAGACGCACAGCTTTTCCAAGGAAAATCCCAACTTTTGGAAAGTTTGTGAGTGAATACTAAGTTGTTGTTTGGTCAGTTATGCTCCCAGAAACCTCAAAGTGTTTGGACATTATATAATTGATGTCAACTGAAACTCCAGGCTGTCCATCTGCGTAAGGCATGCCTGAAGTTTCAATATAATGCAATGTCTGAGTAGAATGAAAAAAACTCTTTTAAAAAAACTGGCATAACAATGTTTCTTAAAATTCACTCCACAGCAGAGAGTCACAAAGCACACAAACGAATTCAGGCTAACCCATATTGAGTGCTGGAAGCAATCTCAGCAACATATTTAATCAGTTCAAATTCAACATCCTGCACTCAGCACAGTGAAGCATACATATTTATGAAACGGAAGTAAAAATTGACAAATTATAATAAAAGCTTTCGTTTCAGGCACCATACTTTCTAAATCAATGCAGGCACATTATCGCAGAAAATGCTGAAATCTGGTAACAGTGCATAATTACTATCTGCTGAAAGATCATCAACTTGAAACATTGGCCCCAATATATTCCAAAACCATTTGGGAGCAGAGGAGGGAAAAGTAGTGAAAAGAAACCCGAGCCATCCAGGTCAATAATGAGTCTCATGCAGGCAATTGCAAGACAAAAGTAAGGTTGTTTGGGAAGATTTGTCCATTGGGACTTGGTATGGATGGTAGCACAATATTTCAGCAGTGACAATATATATTGCTTAGGAGCTACACAACATAACTCTCAAAACTAAACCCAGTTCTACCATCTGTGCCCAAATAATGTCTGAAGGTGCTAAAGATGCTGTCAGTCCTCCAAAATTATTTTCCTTCATTTATACTTTAACAACTACCTGGCATGGTGAGACTGAGTGAGGTTGAATATTTTATTTACTCTAAATTAGGTAATTTGAAAACTTAAGACAGAGAACTGTGGACAGAAGTAACTATTAACAACTACACTGGCTGGTGATTCAATTCTTGACACTATTTAGTTCCCATTTTCATTCCTGTTGCTGTGATATCCAAGTCCTTATACAAAAAGAGATCCAAGCAATACCAAGGCTGCTCCTTGCAAAACTTCCTCATGATTGCTTGACTGCAGCAATTGCCACAGAGTTGGAGACAGGTCAGCCTTCTACTTCCTGAAAGAAGAGTAGCCAAATGAGAGCAAAAATGTGATAGAGGAAAGAAGGGAAATATGTCTCTTGCTACAATTATATCTCAAGCATGACAGTATTTTGGATCTGGAAAACTTCCCCAGACATCATTTGGTCTCAGTGCCATATTAGAATTGGTTAACCAGCCTATATTTGGAGTTTCTTGAATATTAGAAATTGTAGCTCTCTCTGTCAAAGTCCTGCAACATGCTCCATCTTGGAAACCCCCAAAAGCTGAAAACAATATGCTTTCCCAATGGAGTTCCTGAGGAAGTCCAACTGAGACTATCATTTCAAAATAAATGATGACGCCATTAATAGGTCAAGTTTTAGGGACACACCATCTCCAGTTTCTTGTCATTTTGCTAGAAATACATGATCATTTGTTGGACTTCAGCCAGTTAAACACAACGTGACAGTAATAACTTGTAGTACATCAAAAATCACACAAGACCAGGTTATAGTCCAACAGGTTTATATGAAATCACATGCTTTCGGAGCACCACTCCTTCATCAGGTGCAATGAGAGAGGGCACACAGACAGAGAGTTTATCGACAGAAACATCAAAGGATCATACAACTGGTGTGAGTGGAGTGAACAAACATAAAATAGCTGATGGAGAACTCTGTTAGAAAGGAGATGCAAGTTTCGATTGATTAGGATGCAAATTCCAGAATCTGTTTCAAGTCACTGCCCTGAGATAATTAAAGGTTTTATCAGTGTCTGCCTAACTTTCTGAACTTCAATCAGGCAGAGATACAAAAGGTGATAACTCAGGTCAGACACTGATTTGTAGGTGTGAGTGCTCGTTCAGAATCTGTCTCTGAGTTCTAATCTGGAATCAGGCTGGTTTTATTCCAATAGCAGGAATCTATAAAATGCCACACTGACGGACTGAGACTACAAATTGTGTGTTTTTTGAACAAAATAGAATCTGCAAATAGACAAACATCTTAGATGAAATGATTCATCCCATCGATTTGTGTGTGTGAGAGAGTGAGAGCGAGAGAGTGAGAACAAGAGAGATATGATGCTGTCCAAACAGTGCAGTAAAAAAGATTTTACAGATACAGAACAATGTGGTAGGGTCACCTGTAGTGCGACATGACCCCAAGATCACAACTGAGGCCGTCTCCATGGGTACGGAACTTGGCTATCAGTCTCTGCTCGGCGATTCTGGGTTGTTGTGTATCCTGAAGTCTGCCTTGGAGGACGCTTACCCAAAGATCGGAGGCTGAATGCCCTTAACCGCTGAAGTGTTTCCCCACTAGGAGAGAACAGCCCTGTCTGGCGATTGTTGCACGGTGTCCATTCACCCATAATTATGTTTGTATAATCCTTTGAACTCTGTGTCTGTGCGCCCTCTCTCATTGCACCTGTTGAAGGAGCAACGTCTGAAAGCTTGTGATTTCAAATAAACCTGTTGGTCTATAACCTGGTCTCATGTGATTTTTGACTTTGTCCACCCCAGCCTAACATTGGCATCTCCACATCATTACAACTTGTTGTAAGGTGGATTGGTAGCACAAAGCAAAACAAAAAGGACAATAAGATTTTTTATAAAGAAACTCCAACTTCTTCAATCCTGAAATTTGTGGAGTGCAATGCTTGCAATTTGACTCAGACAACAATATTGTATTTTGAGTTCATGCTGTTTGAGTTGTTCCCGCTGCTGTGTACAGATGGTGCCATTAGATTGCAGGTCGCTTCTTTACCAGGTGCCACTGCATCCTCTCTAAAATCAAAATATTAAACCATGAAACATGTTCCAAACAGCAAATAGTTCAACACCAGTATTTCAAGTTGTCACGTGGAATCAGTAATAAAACAGTCACTTAATTGAGGAGTTTATAAAAGCAAAGTTCAAATGTTTGTTAAGTTCATTTGACCTCAAAAATAAAGTCCATCCTTCAAATTTATTCCCAAACATTCGTCATTTCATGCAATGTAATTGCCATGGTTGCAATGTAAGTGAAAACAATTAGAACTCAGATAGAGTAACTGGAAGCACATAATTTAGCTTCAGACTGTGAAGTACAGAATGGACCATAGAAGCTTAAGATTAAATGTTTCAATGAAAATATGGATGTAACAGCTGGACTACTAACCTTTAATTTAATTGCGTGATTTAACATCTAGAACCATTGTTTGAAAGGAAGTACCTTTAAATGAGCCAGGACATTGTGTTTTGAAATGGTTACGCTTGGCACTTGACCTAATCGAGGGACCAGGTTTCTGAAATAAAACTCTGATTTAAGAACAGATATGTCTGGGCAGGTCCCCTGTCGGATATTGCCTTTGTTTTAACAACTTGGGCACATTAAGTATAGTAAGCAACCATCGCTTCATCTCCAGAAACTGCCTGAGATGAAGAGTCAGAAGTCACAACAGCAGGTTACAGTCCAACAGGTTTATTTGAAATCACAAACTTTCGGAGAGTTGGTCTTTCATCAGGTGAAGTCTTGAGATGAAGAGAAATTACTAACACTCATTGTCCAGTAGGGTGCTCAGGCTCCCTTATCTGTTTCAATGATATCTTGATAGCTTTGACAATGGGAGACTGAAACTCCTTCATTAACATGGATTGTCCCCATTGAGACCCAATAGTCAACTGTTGTGTGAGTAAAACACCCCTTGTGAAAAGTTATGATTATAAACTTGCTTGTTCTAAAAGGCTTTTGAAAAGGTGCTGCACAAGATGCTGTTAAATAAGGATTATAGGGAGGAAGCAGGAGAATGGGGTTGAGAAACATATCAGCCATGATTGAATGGCAAAGCAGACTTGGCAAGCTTAATGTTCTAATTCTGCTCCTTTACCTATGGTTTTATGTTTGTTACAAAGGAGGAGCCAATATCTATTCAGGACTGGAAAGAGACTTGCAATGGAAAGGGAAGGATATAATGGTCATGGTCCATATAATTACAATGACATAGATAGGATGAGATATGAGCGTTTGTATGGAGTATGAGGATCTAGGCATTACACAAAAGTCAAAACTTCAAAGGTTATAATATCTGGATTATTACCTGAACTGCGTGCAAAATTTCATATAGTACATAAAATTAGAGGGAGAGTGGAAGATTAGCAGTTCTCTCAACATTTTCATTTTCAGCTCAGATTCTATCTCTGTTACAAGTTCGAATACATTACAGAGATAGAGGATTGAAAAAAGGAATGTAAGTACCATAGATTGCAGCTTAAAAGAACCTGTTCAGACAAGAACAACCAAGATATATTACAACAATTTCAAGACTACAAAGGAACTACAAAATATATAATTATGTTTTACTTTTGGCCTTTAACTTTTTCTAACTCCTCTGTCTTTCTATAAATTGTTCTTGTTTTTTGCATGCTACTGTGTGTTATATCATGAGATTTAGTTTTTTTTTAGAGTGGTATAATTGACTCAGATCTGATACTTCATATTTCCAAAGATTTCATTTTGCAAGTTATTTCAACCAGGTGCATGTAGTGCTACGTATGTCTGGTGCAATATTTCAACTTGCACATTGGCTTTCTTGGGTCAATGTCGAAAAGGAAGCCAATCATGGCTTTAAAATTAACTCCTCTGAGAATCCCTTGTTCACATCAAGTTCTTTCACTTATAGTAGCAACTCACAGGAATAGAGCTACAACTTGGAGTGAGGGCGATCTGTATAGAACAGATCTTTCGTAAATTAATTTTGGAGAACTGGAAATTTGCAAGCTCTACTTCCATGTTCAAAAAGGGTTCATCTATTCCTTGGACGTTCATTGAAGCTGATTGGAATTGGTTCTTGAGCTACAGCAGATAAAGGAGTTAACTGTTGAATCTTTGGTAAGTGGTTGAGTTTGTTTCTATTCTTAAGTTTAAACGAAATATACAAATTGTTAGTAAAGTTAATAAAACATATTAAATGCAACATAGATAAGGGAATAACATAATTCAATAATTAATTAAAGCTCATAAATAATAGCAGGGGAAGTCACACATGACACATGGGAGCTCATGCACCATTGCAATCCAGGGCAAACACATCTGGAGTAAGTTTTTGACATTCAAGGAGCTTTGGCTCAGGTTATGAGCTGGAGGCTGAACTACAGACATGGTGATTCATCTAGAAGAGAAGGAGCTTACTTGGATCTTTTGGGCCAGGAGGCAGTCACACCACTTAGAATAGTGTCTTCTGATTTAGTCAATGGTCAGGTACAGGAGTTTATGACAGTGAGTGAGGCAGGTAAGGGGATCCAGAGGGAAGAAATGCAGGACTATCAGCCTCTGCAATTGTGAAATATGAATGAGGTTCTCTCAGCATGTTTGGATGAGACCAGGGGCTGCAGAGTGTATGTGTAAAATAACCATAGCACTGTGGTACAAGAGACCATTCAAGTGGGGGGAGCAACAAGGAACGTGGTAGTAGTGGGGAATAGTATTGTGAGGGGTGACACCATTGCCTGCTGCAACAAGTGACAGTCCGGGTGGCTAATTGCCTGTCCAGTGCCAGGGTTTGGGACATGTGCTCAGAATTGGAAAGGAACATACAGTGGAAGGGAAATGTTGTAGTCCAAATAAGCACCAACGATATAGGTAGGATGAGAAATGAAGTTCTGCACAGAGCATACAAGGAATTCAGCACTAAATCAAGAGGTGAGCTTCAAAGTTTATTACATCTGGATTACTACCTGTGCTGTGTGCAATTTGGCATCTAGCATGTAAAATTAGAGGGATGAATATGTGACACAAAGACTGATGTGGGAATGTGTGTTCCAGGTGATGAGTCATTGGTAGCAGTACTGGAGAAAGTTGGAGGTTGTACAGTTGGGGGCAGTCTATGATTGGAACATGCTGGGGCCAGTGTGTTTACAGACCACTTAACTAAGGGAGTGGAGAGAGTTTTAAACCAAATGGTAGTAGCATGGGATCAAATGCAGAAAGATGTGGTATATCAAACAATCGAGACAATACGGAAAAATGGTAAGATGAGAAATAAAGGTCAGCGAATGGCAGGGAGAGGTAGAGGGCAAACACTCAACATTAAATGTTAGAAAGATAACAAGAATAGTTAACACCTTCAGAACTTTCCAGCCCATTATCATTCCCCCTCCTTTCCATTTTGCTCATACCCTATCATTATCAAGCTTGTCAAACTACTTTCTGTTTATCTGTATCAAAAGGTACGCATCGGAAACATTAACTTCTTGTTTAACATGACAGATATTGATGGATGTGTTCTGCATTTACTTCGTCCAAAAATTGTTAAAAGTTGCATGAGACATTTTTAAGAAATATTTCTTGGTGTTAAAAATTAATAGTGGAGGTACATTTGAAATCCTTGTAGTTGACTATCCTAACAATTAGGACAAAAGTATGAATGTGAATGATGGAGTTAGGGACTACAGTTGCTTGTTTACTCCCATCGCTTTCTTGGCTATTCATCCAATCCGTCATTTTAGGAATGAACTCGATGGTGAGTGTGCAGACTGCTCAGCCATGGGAGGCTTCATAACAGAACCCAATTCTCCATTCAGCCACAGTCAAAATAATCACACACTTTCCAGCAGGGATCACTAGACACTGATCAAAACTCAGTGCTGATCCCTTTAGTTCAATTCTATGCCTGTGTCTGAAGCAGTTGTGGGAAAACTTAATGCACTGGTTAAATGGATTAGTCACAATGTAATTGTTGTGTAAAAACAGCGCTGACAGGAATTTCATATAAACATGCTAATGTAATAATGATGGGACAGAATTTTCTGGCACTGTTACACAGAGTTGAAGGCACATGCTGTATCAGTGCATTAAAAGCAAAACTAGCAATTTGGGTGAGCAAGTGATATGATATGAGTTGTGAATCATCATAAGTCACTGGACCAAATTGCAGCAAAATTGCTATCAGCCTGGAACAGTTAAATAAACGTTCACAGAAAGTTAGGGCTGGTACTTAACAATGGAAGGATGTGACAGATGTTCCTGTTTACTTGACTTCTCCAGCCCAGCTCTGAAACTGTGGAGATTTATGCCTGCAGATAGTAAATTGCTCCAGAACATTCGAAAATGTAATATTTTAATCTTGTTTTCTTGATTCTTTCCCCTCTAACTCTTAAGCCAACATTTCTGTTCTTCTATTCATTTCTCTTTCTGTACCTAAATTGACTCTAATTCACCATACTTCCTTCACTGTCATTCACTCTATTTATTTCTAATGTCATATCATTATTTGGGCCTCCTTGTATTGGTAAGTACCAGCTCTGACTTATTGGCCCAATGTACAGAGGAAAGTGAACTCCCAGAAGGTGCAGATCTTTCTTATTTCCTAACCCAGGAATACCAAAGCCAACTTAAATATCCAACCTCAATTCATGTCCAATAACAGGAATTTTGGGATTCTTCTTCTTGTGGTGAAGTAAGTAGTATGCAACAACAGCAATCAGAATCAGAGCAACAAGGGTAGCAACCACAGCTCCAACAATCACTCCAGCTTCATTGCTCACTGTAAAGAAGGAAGGAAAATCCCTTAAAAGTTAATTGAAACTCTAAGCTGGTTGTACTGTTGTCCAGGACACCGCGTCTGACTCAAATTCAACTGAGACTGATGGGAGGGACGTCATACATTTCTGTTACAGATATTATTTTTACAGTGATCCCATGAGTCTGACCTACATCAAGTTCAGAGACACTGGACAGCCATCTGAAATATGTCAACCTAGGATTACTTTGCCAGTTATTGTTATGGCTGTTGTACCTCATTGTTTCTTCAATTGCGCCACCTCTTTGCCTTCACATTTTAGCTTTTCTTATTGATCATTCCCTACATGGAAAAGAAACAACTTGTTGTCAATCCTAAAGTTTCGTGGAAGGCGGTGGCACTGTAGTAATGTCGCTTGCCTTATAATTCGGAGGCCCAGACTAATGTTCCATGGAGGAGCAAATTACTGCAGATGTTGGAATCTGAACTGAAAACAAAAAATGAGGAGTCATCTAGACTCAATGTTAGCTTGCTATCTCTCCACAGATGCTGCCTGACCTGCTGTGATTTCCAGCATTTTTGTTTTCAGTAATGTTCTCAGGACATGAGTTCAGGGTAGTTAGTGAGTTTTGAATTCATTAAAATCTGAAATTAAAAGCTAGTCTAATGATAACCATGTCACCATAGAATTTGTCATTAAAAACAGATCTGTTCACTAATGTCCTCAAGGGAAAGAAATCTGCTTTCTTTATCTAGTCTGGTTTACATGTGACTCCTGACCCATGGCATTTGGTTGATATTGGACAGGTTTTAATGAAAATTGCAGTAACCTCCATGGAAGGATATGAACCAGTCATGTTTGAGCAAGGCAACTTTTCCTTGATCAATTTTCTCCCTACATTCCGGGTATTGTTAACCCCTTGCTCTGATAATGGCCACTCTTTTGGTGTGAACTTGAAGTTTGTGAAACTCTGGCTGACATCCCTTTCCTAACTTGGGACACTGAGGTGTATTTGTAGTGCCCTCCTAACTCGGTATTGAAATTAAAGAATCCATCAGCTCAGTGCAGATTGGGAAATAAATGTGTAATCCTCTGACAAAAGCAAAATACTGAAAATGCCAGAAATCAAAAATAGAAGCAGAAAATAGGAGAGAGAAACAGAGTTAACATTTCAAGTTAGTGACCTTTTATCAGTTCTAACAGAATGTCTCCCTAATGTCAATGCCAATTAGTGTCCACAACAACAGTATCAAATGAGTGGAATCTAGTATTTCCCCAAGGGTAAGAAGCTTATTCTTCAAACATTTTATCTAGCAACTGTTACCTCAAAATAATTGTATTATTGTGGATTCTGTGTTAATCAAACTAAATAGAAATAATAGCATCACAGACTCCCAGGTTTGGCACAATGCAAATATTGTGTCATGTAGCTTCCCCTTAGATTATACCAACAAAATGACTTTATCTAACCTCATATAAGCTCTCCTTCCTGGACTAACATCACATTTATATCACTCTCACTGTCTGCACATTCTGAGTGAGACTGGCCATTAAGTCATCAATTAGAGACAGTGTTGCTCACAGTTCACTGGCACCCACAGATGATTGGATTTGTATAGCACTGACTAAGTGCACTTAATTAGCGATAGAAAGAGGGCGCCTTTCATTTTGTCACATTGAGCTAAATTAGATTCATATCCCAGAAGCGGAAAGACAGTTTTCTATTCTCTGCACTGTTTAAAAAATGATACAGCTTAGCACATTTATACTTCACAGTGGCGTGACATTAGGTGTTAGATTCTAGTCAGCTGCAGGTGCAGCAGAAATCAAATACTAGGCATCATCTGATACTCAGATGGTGTTTGAGTTCTAAATGAACTAATAACAGCAATAAGAACTCTTCTCACCGTACAATCCTTACAGTGTAGAAGCAAGCCATTCAGCTCATCGAGTCCACACTGACCCTCTGAAGAGTTTCCCACGCAGACCCACCCCATCCCTGTGACCACACATTCCCCATGGCTAATCCACCTAACCTACACATCCCTGTACACTATGGGCAATTTTAGCATGGCTAATCCACCTAGCC